TGCTCTTCCATTCCGGCGCACCCATGAAGATACGCCACTAATGATGAAATGAAAAGCAACAAGAAACTTATTTAATAAACACATCTTGTGTATAACTTAGTACGGAAACAAAGATTGAGTGCGACAAACATAATATATGGTTAATGGCCTATCATTTCCTCCATATAACCAGTGTGATACCAAAAGTAAACGAATACTACGTATTACCAAAAGTAAACACAACAATACCAGAGCATGCTATTCTATACTCTTTTGAGGACACCAAGTAGCGATCTATGAACTGTTTTGACCTCGAAAATATTCAGTGATGGAAAATTTTTCGGTCACATACCCCGTCAGCCAATCAGATCTCACAATTATTGGGCTCTGCCCACGTTACGTTTCACTGTTATGAGAGAATAAGGTTGGCGCGTAGCGGTCATTATCATCGTAGGTCATTTTGTAAATAAAACGCCGAGGACACTACTAAAACGCGTCAGTTAATGCTAGGTTTCTGAGTGATAGGATCTCATTGTGAAATATATAGGTCTATACACTATTTACCCCAATTTCCGTTAATAAAAACGTCTCTTTTTTGAATTTGGAGTTTGGATTTTTAACTCACAGAGGTAAGTTCGTGCTTATTGTTTATCGACAAACGTGTGTGCCTCGCTTGTGGAGTTGGCTGTATGTAGTAGTAGTAGTTGCAGTATCAGGTTGCCGGTGCATATTATTATTGTATTCTCTGAATAGATAGATCGTAATGTACTATTATTATTTGTTCTTACTTTTTTTAAAATTAATAATATAACTATTTGCTGACCTTATGTTGTAGTTGACTTAATATATTGCCAATATTTGTGTTGTTTTTTGTGGTTTTCGCGACAAACATCCTCATCCAGGCCTGGATGCAGGCTACCAACGTACCGAACAGTGCCCTGCCTCCCTGCCTATACTAGTACTAACCACAGCATAAAGCAAGTCAGATGGGATGAGTTTCTGTAGGGCTGATTCAGAAGCAATAATTTGTCTGACTATAACGCTAAATATATTCACTTTTACGCGTTATTACTAGATGTTTTTATTCAAAATAGGAACATAGCTTATCAATAATAAATGTTTTGTTTTCATCACACAATAATATAAACACCCCCATTTCTTACCCTACTACTAGCTACAATGGCCCGGTACAATATTTATATTACTTTTTAACTCATAACCGGATGTGTTTGTTCAAGTTATAAGTAGGGCTAAAGCATATCAACAGTATGTTTTCTTAGTATTATTTGATATTTATATTGCTGCTACATACATGGACATAAAAACACATTATTTTTTTTTTATTTCCTGCTCAGACAGGCAATGTTTCATGAGCATCTTTAAAGTATAGACCTTCTGGCAATCTATAAATATCTGTTAATATTTATCACCTTGAAAGCAATATTCTAGTAATAGTTAAATGAAACTAGACTTGTGGACTGGATCATTGGGGCCCAGGCAATGTGTGGTACCCATCCAAAATAGTTTGGGTTGGCCTGTAACCTGGATAGGGGTATCATATGAGAACCAGAGGCCTTACTGTATGGGGTCCAGTTTGTGAGAATCGTATTGAATGGGTACAGGTAAAAATTACTGGTGGAATCCAGGAAGGTTGGGGAAAACTGGATCATTTTGGCAATTTTAAGCTGTTCTGAGATGTTTTAATTAACCTTTTGGTGTGAATGATGGTCAAGAAGGATCATAAGCCCCCTAATACCAACTGGTTCCATCCATAAGATACAGGTCCTTCAGAATTATCTTAAATGGAATCTTCGGAAAATTTGCTTAGTCCTTAGCCTGTCTCTTATACACATCTAGATGTGTATAAGAGACAGCCAAGTAATTAGTTTAAACCTCCCCCCCCCCCCCTCTGTAAGCAAAATACTGGATCCTGGCTTACAAAATGCATGCTAACCTACTATGCATAGATTGGCAGATCGGACCAACTAGGCTTAGCCCAACTAGCCTCCAATTAAATAAAATTAAACCACTGTTTTTGGTTCGACTTCGTAATTTTTTATGTATGGAAGTGCGTTCTTCAAGCCTATCAGTTCATCAAACCATGGAAGAAAGACTACGTATCCAACTTAATATTGTTGGAATATAGTAATATATTGCCTGTGCTATGTCTTTGTTTTGTTTTTTCTCTCTATAAGAATAAGATAAAATTACCAGGCCATTTTTCAGGAGGGAGAATCATTGACTTTTGTAGAATTTAAAGGTCGTTAAAAAGTTCATTTCCAGCCATCTGGGAATCAAAATTTTCCCTGGGAGGACCCCTGACACCCCCCCTCCGCCTCTCTCAATTTGGTTTTTTTTGTTAATATTTTGAACCCCCCACTTTTAAATCCTGGATCCTGCATATCGATTAGAAGAGACATAATGAAAGTAGAATTTTGACACCTAAAAATACAGTTTCACATACCAGTGTTGAAGCACATTAAATTAAATTCAGACTTGAAGTGTATCCATATGCGTATAGTACCAGCTTGTGCATACAAGAGAAAACATGCGTGGGTCATACATTATTTTTGTTAAAACAATGTTAAAATCACATCGTGGAATGAGGTTATCAGGTAGTGAACTTTGCACTTGAATTTAAGTTAATGAAGGCGGATGCAAATTTATCAACAATCCAGAAGTTAAGTATGTGATAACAACTGTATTCTTATGTGGTAGAAATGAAGGCACTGAATACTATAATACATGCAATTAATCATTACAGTATATAGATTTTGCATTCCCAGTTAGGAGTGTTGCCTTAAGATATTTCCAATGGCATCTATGTTTAGAATTCAATAGGAGTGCCAAGATTGGGGCCAAGATGGGATATATTAATGGTATGTTCTTGAATGACTGCCTCTATAGCATAGCGCTTTAATATGTAAACATAATCCTATGCTGCTTTGTGCCAAATGTTGTCTCTTGCACATACTGTGCAATATATGACGTGTCAGATTGAAGCAGTCTTATCATAGTTTAGATAATTCGTTCATATACTGTAAATCTTGGATTGTATGATATGTTGATACATAATGGTGGTAGGCCTAGTATAATTATTCAGGGCCAGGAATAAAGAATTTACTTTTTGAGGTTTTTTTGTAAGTCATATTTTCAGCAAGATCTTGGTTGAAATTATTTTTTTTACGTTTCTCTATTTCCTCCAGATTTATGCAGTATATGACTTCAAATTGTTAAGGTTTCTCCGCTCAATTTTTTTGTGATTTGCACAAATATGGATGTAGCATGACATCAACATGCTTATATATGGACTAATCACATATATTTGTAACATAAAACTTAATAAGTGTGGATAGAATGTATTAGGTACCTCCATGTATTTACATTTGTTCACACAGTTTGTCTTTCCATATCATTATGCACAACTAAACATAAAAAATTGATTATTAAGTGGGTCTACCAAAGTCGACACCTATGTATTCCAAGGTTCTCCCTGATCAATATACTGAGCATAAGTTTTAAGGTAAAAGTAGGCAGCGTAATTGCAGTTATATATGAAATTGTTTGTGTACTTATTGATTTTCAAATAGACTGTAATCATTAGCCAATAGTGTCATTGTAGTAGATTGCCCATTAATAATAATAATTAAATATCCTATTTAATTTAAAGCATACAGTAGTATCAAATAATGATTAATCTGAATTTGTCCATTCATAGTTTGTCTCCACTTAATTGATAATAATTATGCGAAGTAACGTTTGTAAAGCTAAAAAAGCCATGATTCAAAAAGTATTACTTCTCGCAACATCTTAAATAATAATAATTTGAAGTTTTGTAACAAACAGAAAGAAATTCATTGTGCTATATACCCAAACTACTTAATACCAGCAGGGCTTGGTTAACTACTTACTGCTAGGTAGTAGTAGTAATAGTCCGGTCACTAAATTCATTATTTCCTACTTTATATTCTTGTGAACACAAAAAGAGTCAACTACATCCTGCAATATAACATTGTGTTTCCTTATCCGGTAGTTATCTTTTTTTGGCAATGGAATAGCTGTCTAGGATGTCTTCCTTTTTCAAAAGTCTATGGGGTGTCATGTGAGCAATGTAGATGATATAGTAATAGAAGCAGTTACAGTTTTTATTGAGAATATGCCACTGATCTGTATGTACATAGAGTACTGAAAAATGTTGTCCTTTATAGCCTTTCACTTTAATTGCAGCTGATAATACAGCATGTTCAATAAATAATAACCCACATTTAAGTGAACCTAGCCTAGATATAAAAAGTACAAAAGGTGCTAGTATTTGGAACTAAACAAAATTGGTGGGTATAGCAATTTCATTTAAGTGAATTGTGATTGGGTGTGGTTTTGATGAAAAACGTTTAAAATCATTCACACATTAAATAGGCTTATTGTTCTTGTACATTCTTTGAATACTTCGGTTTATAAGGGTATATATACAGTAATAGTCCCTGTAATATATTAAAAAACTATATTTGTACCTGTATTTCTTTTTCTGGATTTTTGCGGTTTATTTAAATTAATCAGATTGCATTCAGTGATTCTGTCCTTACTCTATTAGTCTCTTTTTAAAGTACTTCATGACCAAGGGCATGTAGAAGTGGAACAGTTTAAAAGACTTGGCAACCATATTAGATAAGGTCTATTATATGACGTTACCAGCATTTAAGAAGTGGATAAATCAGACATTAACATGTGTCTTACGATTTATTCCTAAAAGATCGTCATTTTCAACATTGAAATTACATTAATTATATTTTATATTTTATGTTGTCAATCTAAATACAGGTATTTTTCATTATCAGGAATACTACTTGGACATACAGTACGGAATATGACTAAGTTAGCAAGAAAGACAATATTAATTATTTTAATATTTACCAGTCTTATTCTTCTGGTGCAAAGCACAGGTGAGTTTATAGTATAAGTTTATATTGTGCATATGTATTTCTTATATTGAAATCCATATATTTTGTATCATAACCAGGCATGTCTAGTTTGGTAAAGAAGGAATTGTACGTAACTTCTGTTGTCAGGGGTACAGTTTTGACCACTGTAAAGTACAGTAAAACATTTTAATATTTACTGTACATTATGGTTGCAGAATTCTACTTGTACTTATTTTATAGAGTACATGCCCGCAACATTAAAACATAACATAAGATATAAATGACCCGTTAAGCATAATACTTTTGGAATGCAAATTTTTGTTGCTCAAGCAAGCTTTAGAAAGAATAGCTAAGATCGAGGTTAAAGCATTTTTTTAGATTGTATGTTTCCAGAGCCTGGAACATGAATCAAAGCATCCCTTCTGGCTTTCAAATGTCAATGAGTTGTGAAAGACCATTATAATATACTCTTGGCATTAATTCAAATGTCCAAAATCAAAGTAGTTATAGTAAAAAAAACTTCAAATTCTGGAAAACCATATGTTATATATATGTTTAAATGCTTAATTATATTTAAGGCTTTTCTTCATTTTTATTACTAATACTAAATGCATTCACTAAAGCTGGAGGAAGTATACGGTGCAACTTCTAACAGACCTGGAATGAGACGGCAGCACATTCTTTATCAACAAATTCCTCCTCTGCTTTGTGCGAGTGCTAGTACGCACTCACTTAGTAAAAAATCTGATCAAGCGTTGTTGTGTGAGCGCAGATCACAGCACTCCCCCTTCCCCCTCTCAGCACGCTTGCTTCTTTGTTCATACCCATGTCCTAATTTCTGGGACCACCACCGTTCATAAAGAAAATCCGATAGTGTAGGGCTATATGTGATTTTAGTATTGATTTTTTTTTCATCTTGTGATTTGCTAGCTTAATTTAGGATGAGAATGAAATTGATAAGATCTAACATGACCCAGAAAGAAAACCTATCCAAAATTCTTGACCTCGTTGCCTATTTTTAATGGTCATTAAAGTCTATATGTATTGGTTCATCTACTTGACCAAGTTTCATTGCAATATCCATGTCAGTTCACTTGTTTTTAAATTGATAAAATTGTTCTTTTCATCAAGGTAAACATAATATAATTCTTTTTCCGCTGCCTTAAAGATTGAATAAGATGTTACTTAATAATAATAATAGTAATATTTATTTGGCAAAAAGCATACAGGAGAAAAACATCATGCATTGCCCGGATAGGGAATGGGCGAAAGCCCGAACAATATTTGCTCCCTATCCTTCATATAAAATGAAATACACAAAAACAACCAAAACTAATCAGAAACATTAAATGAAATAAAATGCTTAATTAAATTATTCTTAAAACAGGAAACAGTAACAAAGTTTTGAAGTAGAATAAACAATTATATCACAGATCGGCAAGAGCCAATCAGAACAGCGTGATAAATAATTCTCTACCATAAATTAAATTCTTGTTTATATGACTATTCAACATAACAGTTTGCTCAAGAAGTTAGAGATAAACAGTAATGTCTGTGGTAAGTTAATAAAAAAAATGTGGAAGCAACAATGCATTAAAAAAAAACATGTGCATCCATATTGTAATTTGTATTAAGTAATTCTTTACTTTAGCAAGAAATTGGTTAATGCCATTAGCTTAAAATCCACAAGAGTTTCTGAATGTTTTGGAAAAAAATAATTTCCTAATTAAGTATTATATGCAGTGATGTTTTAAAATATTTCCTGTAATAGTTACCCATACTATCATTGTTAATTATTAATAATGAGTAGCCTTGTACTGAATACAGTATTCACGTTATAGCATCACGTTTTGTTAAGTGGTTAAGTGGTTTGTCACATCTCGAAACAGGGTTTAATCTCGATCAAATTCAATCATTGTAGTTTAAAACTTGAAGATAATGTTAATGAATGTTTTTTTATCTTTTGTGTTCAAGTAAACAATTATGATAAAGTTGGCTAAAGCCTTTTGAGGTCAGTTCAGCAAGTCTGGTTATTTCTCCGTATTGCTGTTAATATCGCACAAGATCTCACAGCGTGTGTGTAGGTAGTCAGCATCAGACCCATAACCAGGATCCAATGAGGGATTTTCTTATCAAAGCCAGATGTCCCAATGAGGAAATCAAAAATAGACAGTGAGATCATATCAAGGGGAAGAGCTCTTATGGAGTTCAGGGGAAGGGTCCTAACTGTTGTACAGTCTAACAGTGAATTTCATAAAATGGTTTTTGATGCAAAAAAAAAAAGGCAGGTTGCGTGAGAATTAACATAGCTGAACTAAAATTACCACTTGTATAGGCTTCACTGTGATCAATTAAATAAATTGCAGAAGACATTTTATTATTTTATCTGCTACTTTTTATTAGCTGGTAGAATGTTGTGTTTTGTAAGCATGATTACCATTTAAATTACAGTCACAGTCATGTGCATTTTATGGGCAAATATATCCTGGTGGGATACTGCACCACATGTTTCCATTCCATGCTTGTGGCTTGGCTCAGTATCTGATGAATCCCTAATAATTCCTTCTCTAAAGGCCATAACTTTTGAACGGCACATTAGATTATAATAATTTAATCTGGAAAATGGACAGTGCAATGAATTCTGTAGCTGTAATATTTACAAAATTCAAATTGATAAATTTGAATTTTCTTATTGGGAGACCTACTACCAGTTAAAACATATATACCATTATCCTTTTTCACAAATCGGTAGACGTCTTGAAGCGATGACAAACATTGCGAATCAGCGGTGCGTAACCAACAGAAATAAGATAAGCTTTTGGGCTGATTTTCTGACATCATTTTATTTAAAAATCATAACTCCATAACAGGGCGTCGTATCCAAAACAATTTTCCAGCAAAATGTTCTTAAAAGACTAGTCTTCACTACTATATGATTGAAAAAAAATTGAAAAAAGTTTGACCTGAAATCAAGATGGAAAAAGAAAAGCCTATCTAAGTAGTGTATTAAAATAGGCCTACAATATGCATTAACAGTGCAGTAGCATAGTACTTTTGTGTTGTACTGTTCCCGGTTCTCTTATTATAAAGTACAAGTTATGTTTTATAAAGAAGTAGTATAGTAAATCATGTTTTTTGAACATAGGAAACTCTGAAATGGTAACTAAAACAATGCTAGTCAAGAGTATTAATAGTACTACTGCACTAGTTTTATGCAAAATACTGCATACAGTACATAGAGGACCAAAAGTATTTTAAATTTAAAACTATATTTTAGAGATTAGTTTCTAGTATTGAAAATTATAGCAAATTAGTATGACCATGCAGAATTATTTTAATATTTTTAAATATTATATTTCTTCTATTGCCAACAGAAACCTGTGGTGCAATTTATTCTGGATCGCCATCAAAGACCGACTTCGGTGATTTTACTATAGCTTCCAGTTATTTCCTGTCACATCATGGGACCATCAAGCAAGATTTAAATTGTACATACAGACTGAATAACTTGGATAAGCAAGGGGCAATACTACTTTATTTTGACTATTTTTATTTGAATGACAATGGGATGCTTAGACAAGGAGATACATTAAAGGTAAGTTAATTTTGTTTTAAAGTTGCATTGTTTTTGCCTTGGAACAGCTGTATTGCGATGCTGATTAGGCGGTGAAATCAAGGAGCTTTCTTAATTGTATCTTAGCCTAGCTTGTTGCTCTTGGGTGGATCAATTTTGTCTAGCCGTACATTGTCAGACAATTTCTGAATCAAATTAGTTATTAAACAGCGACTACAATATTAAAAGTATTACTGTTATAAAATTATGTACAGTAGCATGCAATTTTAAAAATATGCTACTGTATGTCTGGCACATTCAAAGTAGCTTAGATTTCTAATTAATAACATTTAAACATTATAGTGCTGTTGGTGTAGTATAAGTCAATGAACATCTTTATGCACTATTATTATATCAATGTTAATTCATTAATGAAAATGTTGATTAAATGAATAATAGCTCTGAAAAGCCAGACAAGCCGTCTATAATTCATTTTGAATAAATTTACATACTTTATGAAAGCTCTTAAAAGAATTGAATTTGTATTTATTTAATCGCAGCTCAAAATTTGAAACTATATAGATGATCATAATATATATATTTATAGATATTTCAAATAGTACATTTTCCTTTTGAAATTACTATAAAGTACATTCCCTCAAATTTAATGTCATATGCTCAAATCATACTAAATGTTGATTAGTTATGCCTGCACATGTAACCAATCTACAGATGAGAAAGTTCATCAAATGAAAATGCTCTACAAAAGCACCGACAGCATTAATATGGACATGGCAAATGTTGATGGAAGATGTCCTTTTATTGAGGCATGTTTCGGTCTTAGATCAGTAATTTGGACGCAAATAATCAGAAACATTTTCTCAGAATAATTTAAATACTATCTTCTCTCTGGTGCAATACATGCGCATTGTGCATTATCAAATACAACTTGTAACTTCCATTGGGTGGACAATGTCCCTTGATTGAGGCACAATTCTGTGTTAGATCGGTAATTGGGCACAAATACCATTTTCTAAAAAAATAGTTTACCATCTACCTATCTGGTGCGATACATGTGTATTGTGCATGATCAAATGACAATGACATAAGTTGCGCAACTGTGACTTTCATTGGTAACTTTGAACAACCTCATTCTCAAAGTTATTGCGATTATTTGACTGACTTTCATAATGTTTTTATCACTATTTGATCAGGAGGCCTTATTTTAATATTAAAAGCTTCTCAATTTTCTGATTTTTGCGCCACATTTTTTAAACTATCTTAAAAACAAACTCTCCAAAAATATACTGGAGAACATTCACATTAGCACTGCAGTACATATCCATTGTTGGCCAAGGCTTCATCTACACTGTATTTCCGACTGTCTGTAGAAAAAGGGGTTAAAAAAAAGAAACGAACGTACTGAGAAGTATTTGGCCTTGTATCATACAATTATATTTAATGCAATTGTACTGTTTGAGATTGTGAACAAACTTACAATTTATAGGAAATTTTTTTTCTACCCAGATATCCAACGACCCTGATACATACTATTCGTACAAAACACCTCAGCCTCGTGTCTATGATTCGTCAACGTTAAACTTAACCTTGACGTTGCACCACTCAACACGTGACTCGCATATTGGCTTCAAAGCTTGCTACAAGTTTCTGTCGAAGGATCAGCGACTGGCCTGGGAGAAAGCTGACAAATGTAAGAACCAATTTCATATGTTCTTGAGTTGTGATTCATTCATCCTCATATATAAACACGAGGTGCTTACTCACCCGATAGGAAGTTTATTTATAGAATGTACATTGTTGTAGCTGATGCTGTTGGCAAACATGGTTTGATAAAGGACAGAGAATGATTGCTCATTATCGAGAACACCTTGTTAAGTTTTTCACTTACTAGAATCTTTCAAAAATAGAATATTAATGATCACTAAGTAAATATGTTGCGAAAGGCTGTATTCATACATACATTTTAAAACTTATTAATTACTTGCATAAACTGAAAGTTTGATAGTTTTCTGCAACATTCAGACAGGTTAACCTAGGTTGTTCAGCAACGTTTGTCTAGTCAAAGGGTAGATAAGTTTAAAATATTTATTTAATTTTATTTATTTATTTAAGCTTTCTTTAACCAGAGGGTATCCATTCAGTGACTAGCACTGCTTTCCAAGGAAGCCCTGGTACATAGAGTAAATATAACAAAAAATGTTTACAAACTGAAATTCAAAAGTAACTAAAAGTAAATCAAAAACAATGATAAGATAGCCTAAAACTGAAATGAAAGCAGACAAATGAAAATTACCAAACCAAAATTAAACAAAAAGAAAGCTACAATACAGTACTACTGAATACAGATAAAGGCCCCTTTTTTAAACATATTAATAGAAAGAAAATCAAAATTGTTACGAATGTAAGATTGTTCCAAAGATGAGCAGCTCTGGTACGAAATGTAATCTCACCACAATTTCAATTTGCATGTGGAACAACTAGAGTGTTTGATATTTGATTCCTATTAGGGTAAGAATGAACAGAGTGGGTATGGGTGAAGGTGAATTTAGAAGATAGATTTTCAGGGGTATTACCATTTAAACATATTTAAAGTAAAATGTGGTATGTCCATTGATCATTTAGTTTAAGCCAATGAAGAGTAATCATCATATCATTCATTAAAGTTCTAATATCGGCTGAAAAAATATCTGCCTGATAAGTTCAAAATATTTGCCTGTTACATTCTTACGTGGTCATCTTTATGTCCTTTAAATATCATAGGGCATGTTCTTACTGAACAAACACAAAATAATAAATTTTTTAAATCGGTTTTTTTAATGAGTGCTAGACAGCCTGCCCTCATTGCAACTGCATTTTTTGATTTTACGAACATCGGTATCATGATGGAAATTACGTCATTTTGTTTATACAACACCTTTTTCAAACTGTATGCAGTAGTAGTAGGATACGATGTGCGTCTTGAAGGCAAATGTTTCGGCTGTGCTTATCGGCACAACGAACGAGTGAC